ATAGTGCAGAGAATGCATGCAGAATTAGATTGAATTAAATGCAGTAGAATTAGCTTCAAGAGTGTTTAACAATGAGGCAGCTTATTATTTGCAACTGAGAGAAAATTGGATTGAAGGAAAAAAAGCACTTAGCTTAAGAAGCAGTTTCCAGGAAAATGGAGAGTTCAAATTAAGCAGTTCCTTAGGGGTAGGAGCATAAGTCCGTTTAACAATCCGAGGTCGAGGAGTGGAGAAGGAGGGTAGTCGTTTTCAGAGCGGTTTCGGTACACGGAGAAGCTTCAAATGAAATTGGGTAGCCGGTAAGAGGTTCACAGGAACTCGTTCAATAATCCAGCAACTTTGAATCTGGCGCGGTCTTCCTATGTAGGGTGAGGAGACCACGTCAGAGAAGGGGCGGGGCAGAGCTCCGTCAACCCGGAAGTCGCTTAATTCGGCGAAACCGGCAGATATAACATGACACATAATGACGAGTGATGCCGAACGGCCTTTGTTCACAATGTGGGATGTGGCCAGGTTATCCGAGTAGCACCTGACCGTGTGGCCAGACCAATATGGTCCCCAAGCAATGGCTGCCGCCACGATTGGGTACAACTCGAATAAAGCCGAGGTGTCAGAAAATTTTGGTAGAGATTCAACTTCGGCCCCAGAGGCATTGATCACCCCAGATGGCGGCAAAGCCTGTGTTAGCTGCGGCATCTGTCCATAATGTAGGTGATGTATCGGAGGGAGGTGGTATAAACATGGTTCGCCCGTTCCAAGAGGTGAGAAAAACCCGCCACATGCGTAAATCCGAAGTTGCATGTACATCTAATGTGATATGTGAAGTGTCCGAAGAGAACAGTGGAAACAAGGATAACAGGTGGGATATAAAAGATCTACCTTGGGGTATGATCCTCATGGCAAAATTGAGCGAACCAAGCAGTGATTGGAGTTCTTTGCGATTGCAATGACTTTGTAGCAGGTAGTGTTCAATACTTGCCAGGGTACGCTCAATCTTGTCCTGAGGTAGACTGGCCTGCATGTTTATCATGTCTAGTTGTATGCCCAACAATTGCATGTAGGTATCTGGACCCAAAGTTTTGTGAGGAGAGACAGGAATGTTAAGAGATTCAAACAGTGCCAATAAGTGATTCAAACTACTAGGTGGAAGAGTGTTATTCTCAATCAGGAGGAAGTCATCCAGATAATGGATAACCGAAGGGAACTTGCACACATTTAGTAATAGCCAACACAGAGCCTCTGCAAATGTGTCAAAGATACGTGGACTACTTTTAGAGCCGAAAGTAAGTCTGGTGAAAAAATAATACCTTCCTTGCCATTTAATACCGTGTAGATGCCACAGGGAAGGGTGTATGGGTAGTAGCTTGAAGGCGTTTACCATGTCTGTTTTACTCAGCCATGCTCCCGTACCTGCTTGTATGATGGCCCCTATGGCATGGTCGATAGTGGCGTAGTGCAGTGAAAATTCTTCAGAAGGAGTTTAGGCTGGGGATAGTGGAGGAGTGTGGTGCTGATAGATCAATTATCAGTCTGGGTTTAAGTGAGGTCTTCCCTGTGACCACCCCTATAGGATTGGTTCTCCAGGACGTAAAGGGTGGGGAAAAGAATGGTCCCAACAGAAACCCTTGCTCAAGTTCAGTTGAGATAAGTGTATTTACCAACTGTGGATCGTCTAAAGTGGACTGTAGGTTGTCGCATTCCAGTGTACCGGAGGGTAAATGGACCAATCCGGTGTGAAAACCCTCGGTCACGCCCCCAAAAATATATGCCGTGAAATGACGTGAAGGATGTGGCTGTAAAAGTGCTGTCAACAAAGTGACGTTCACACACGTGTGATACGGTTTTGGGAATGCTTTATTTGGGCACATTGTTTTGGCATGGGATCTAAAACAGTGTGAACACACATGCATCAATCTACATGAACTAAATCCACAATTGCCCGCATTGAAATTGTTGCATATTTGAGATTTACCCAGGAATACAATGTCTCTGCCCAGCTTGTCTTTTAAACCCTTGTTAGATTTAGGAAAGTTAGGGGAAGATTGATTTTGTTCTAACTCGGCTGTGTTAGGGCAGAGATTAGTGTGATGTGCTGTGGATGCGCATACTGCACATGCTGGAGGCCTGAGGCCCGCAAAATGCCTGCAGAATAGCTCTGTGTCCAATTTGCTCCAATTAATGTTTAAATTGAACTGAGCCAGAGCTGCAGCCACCCTTTGCGGAAAAGGAACGGTGGTAATCGTAAAAAGCGGTACCACCGTATTTGTGCCCCAGGTACACCATCTTGTAAATGTATGCATCTAGCTCTGCTCTTTTCCATGGGTATACTGAGCAGTAAACATCCCTATAAATGCCAAATCCCAGTATGAATTCAGGTATTGACAGTTTTTTATTTAGTCTAGGGTCTCTAGACCTTAGTACGAAAGATATATCCCCATATGCAAAAGTCCTATTCTCTAGGACATCCTGGAAGGCTATAAGCAATGACACCAGGTTGACATCCTTGCCTTCCAGAATGTCCTTTTTAAGGTGAGATGGGACCATGTGTGAGGGGTTAATATCTCCGCTAAGAGACCCTGATTCCAAAGTATTACCAGTCATGTCAGCAAGAGGGTGACTGGCCTCAATTGGGTTCGCAGCGGTCTATTTAGTACCACTAGTTTCCAATTTATCCAGTCTGTCATTAATTGTGCTGATGGATGACATGAGTGAGGTCATCATAGCGTGAAACGTTGGCAATTGTGTGCCACTAGGGCCTCCCCTGCATCAGAGTTGTCAGTGCCCATATTCAAAAGTCTGAACAACTCAGCTTTCCTAGCAGTAACTGGGAAAGGGATGCTGCGTCTTCTCAGTTCTGCCGTGAGACGTGGGACGGTCCATGATCTGAGAGAAGCAGGGCTAGCAACGTCTGTTGCAGGAACAGGGGTACCAGGCCTAGCGGGAGTGCAGGGTAGCGAGAGTTCCTCGGGGATATCAGGATTAACAGACATAACTGAAAATTATAAGTAAACTTAATCATTCTATAATGTTTATTTTGGTGGGTACTGGAAAGGCTAGCTAAATGCCAAGCGGCAAAACAATTATACTTATGGATGGTGACAGATGAGTCCCTACTAATTGCCAAGTGGCCTGAGATGCGCTACCTATGCGTTGGCCCGAGGGGAACGTATGAGGCCACCGAACGTTGTGGCGGGGTGTTGGCCTCTCGGTGGTATTTAAAGCATAAGATAGATTGGGAGTGACAGGTGAGGCCCTCTCTATGCGACAATGCGAGACGGCTAGCTATGATTTGGCCCGAGGGGTGTATTCCTCCGAGTATGAGGAGAGGGGTGTTGGTCTCGCGGGACCACTAGCCTATGGATTAAGACCAGAAACTTTTACCTAGTTGGGTGATATAACCTAGGACCAGTACCCCTCAGAACATGGTAGAGGGAAAGATTAATTGGTTCTGGCGTAGTACCTGATATGTGAGTCAGGTTGCGCTGTCGAGGTAGAAGTAACCCAGGACTGTAAGAGTCTCAAGATGATAACCTGTTGGATATGAGATTCAATATATGAGATAAACATAGTGTTATGGCCAGATCGTGGGCCCTAAGAAGAAAAACCAAGGAACCTACCCGACACTGCAGAGGGTAGATATAATGAAATTGACAACGGTTTTCCGTGCTTGTAAAAGCTACCGTATTGAAGGTAAACAACCTAAAAGTAAAAATACATACTTAACTACTGTAATGTGTAACATTAGCCTTCATAAACCAAAATTAAACAATAACCAACCTATAAGAATTTTGAATACCACTGACAGATTTCACAATTCCCAGAATGAACCACTGGGATGACTCTGTGGGAAAAACAGATTCAGAAATTCAGGAGCCATCAATTTTTTAACAATATTCTTATTCAGCATAGATAACCTGCAGTAACATTTGTAACCAGTAGGGGCGAAATTCCCTTGTAGTACTGGCTGAATTCGAGTTTAATACATGAATTAGTGTAGCTGCCGAATGAACTATGTAGAGTGTAGTAACAACCGAATACATAACCCATAATTAACTAGAGAAACCAACCGAATGATGCTTAAGTATAAATTAACCAAATGTTTATTGTTCGTTTGTTTGAACTTGTGAAACACGCGAATGGCAGAGTGAAAGCATTTAGACGAATGTAATGGTGATATGATATAACGAACCGAACGTAGATTTGAACCGAACGGGGCACCGCAGTGCAAAACAAGGGAATTGCAGCGGTTGCTTTACGGCGGGCCAGACTTATGGTTTTCTCCGAAGAGGATGCACCGAGTGAGCTGTGCGGACGCCGGCGGCGGTGAGGAGAGCCAGGGGAGCCCGGACCAGGAGACCACGAGGGAACAGGTAAGGAAAAATCCAAGATGGCGGTCTGAACCGGAAGTAACGTTTCAGACTCGCCAGACCAGCAACGGTAAGGTGGGAGTGGATTGGCAGCCCTTTTAAAGGTGAACCAAGCCACTCCCACAACTCCAGGCCAAGCCTTCAAATATATATATATATATATATATATATATAAAAATAAAAATACACTAAGAATAACGTTAATTTTATATATCTATATATAAAATCTAAATAGATAAAAACATTTAGAAAAATGAAAACAAAATTACTTTTGTTCTAACTGTATTTTGATATTAATATACATATATATTTAAATCAAAATACATTTAGAATGACGTTATAAATACATATATCCCCTTAACAACCGTGGACGTACTAGGTACGTCTGACAAAAAAAATTAAGTGGCAAATAGGAGCCCTGGACTTACCTGGACCAGCGAAGTGGAAAAACAGGAGATGGGGTGAAAATTAAGGGAATGAAGACAGGAATCGAACCCTAACCCTAACACCTTGTCAAGGTGCCTAATTGGAACCACAGTGTGACCGCACCAGATAGGTGCTCTCACACTATCGCAGTGCCCGATCGGCTCAATGATGTGACTACATCTGATTGGTGCGGTCACACTAAAGGAGGGAGATGTTACTCACCTTACATCCAGAGCCTCTCCCTTCATGCAGTTCTCAATACAGCGACAGGGTGCATCATTAGGAAGGACACCGGGTGCTGCAAGGCAGCGCTTTATAATAACGGCGCCCACAATGACGTCACTAGTGGGACCCAAAACAGCCATTAGCAGGGTTAAATGGGTTATTTAAACCCAAACCTGCAATGGTTCAGTGCTGTGTGGTGGTTTCCATCCTGTTGGTTATCCGAAAGCACGTTCCTGATACTGTTTATTGGCTATTGATCTTGGCTTGGCTTGACTTTCTGTATTTTTGGTATCTCTAACCCTTTGGCTTTGCTCTTATCATTTTTATTCCTTTCTGTATTCCTGACCTCGGCTCGTGACTGTTTATTCTATTACGTTAAATCTGGCCATTCTATGGCCTGGTAACACGTTGTTACGGTTTGTCTTTTCACGTGTTTTACTTAATTCTGTGTATTGGGCCACTGGTTCTTCCTGACATTACGACAGGGCTATGAACCCTGCAGAGTTAAGTCAACACATGTTGGCTTGCGAAAGAAGGCTGGAAGATAATGATCACTGTATGGATCAATTCGCCCAGGCCTTTTAGACATTGTTGGCCCTTACTGCTCCCCTCCAACCGGAGGATCAACGACCTCTTTCAGCCCCTCCTGTTGCTGTTGTACCCATAGTATACAAGGCTTGGTCTATATCCCTTTCACCACCCCCTCATTTTGGTGGTAATGCTCAGGAATGTCATGGTTTTCTAAACCAAATTGAGTACCACTTTGAGTCCACTCCCTGCTCCTTTCCTTCCAATAGATCCAAGATTAGTTATCTGATGAATCGGTTGATAGGGAAGGTGTCATGCCAAAAGCATGAGTTGGTGTTTGATGTATTGATATATGTTAAGAGTTGTTTTTTTTGTAAACCTTGGGATGACATTTATTGTGGTCTTTGATCTGGCACCAGGCCTAGACCATAAAATATCTAGATAGCCATCACCAGAGCTGGACACAAGGAATTGCATAGATTGGGCAATAAACTGCCAGACCAACCCCTTCTGATCCCACCCCCCATGGGTCTGCCCACTGAGAAACAACTAGTTTAGATATATTAATGAGGGTGCTGGACTATCCGGGGAGTTCTTCATTTTGCCTTTGGTCAGCAACTTTTAGGAGATCTATACCATCTAAGACTCCCACAAGAGTTATATATGGGGTAACTACATGTGACGAGACCAATCTCGCCACATTGCATTGGAGAAGCCTGGTTGCTCGCCTGCTGCCTTTGGACTATGGCCCCCTGTTAAAAGACATCTTTTTTACCTGCAGAAAAGCTTCATTCGTGCTTTTCTGCCTGGGGTTCGGTAGATTTGTTTGAATGTGTTATACCCCAGATAGGAATCCCATGGAGCCCATTCATATGAAACTGACATGTCTGTGTTTTATGTATAAAATGGGACTTTGTGTATTGTACAGTATTTTAATGCTTTGTTCTAACCATGTGCATAATGGAGTCTTGTCTCTGTCCTGGGAGATAATTTAATTACTTCTCAATTATCTCCTGGGCAGAGGAGAGGAAGCCAGGATGCATTGTGGTAAAAGGTATGTGTATTGGGTTACCTCTCAGGATAAGGGGGAGGGATCTGTGGGTTGTAACTAATATGTTACTGGATATTTTATACCTCCCTGTGGGCGGTCCTGTATTTGCAAGACTGTAATAAAAACACGTTACCAAAAATGTTTAACTATATGTTTGATCAGTAAAAGTAGAACTGTGATTCTATAATTCTCCTGTGTGTGGGGTAACCTAAGACGCCCGGGTTTAAAGTCTTGGTGGTGGCAGTAAGTGTGTACTTAGGGGGTTAGTGTAGAAGGGATTGCAGGGGTTAATTGAGTGGTTGCTGGGACTAGCAACAGGTAACCAGGGGTCTGGTGTCATTAACCCTGTCACTTCCACACTCTCCCCACTGTCTCGGCTGGGCCTATAACCCACGCTCGTGACAAACTGGGGGCAGCTGGTGGGATATATTTAGAGATTTTTAGTGCTTGCTAGATTTTACCTGTAAAGGGAGTCTTAGCACTAAAAGAAATTGCATACTTGTTTTTGTGTAATATCCAAAGACCAAGCTAGGTGCTGATTTAAAATACATACAAAGTGCAAAACAGTTCTCCCCTCCCATCTCTTGTTTTTCTTTCTCTATCCTATTGTGAATATGGAGGCCTATCGCAAACAATCAAAAGAGGCCTTGGAATTGTTATGCCAAGAAAAGGATTTACCAACTTTTGGCAAAAATAAGGCACAACTTATTGCTGACCTTGTGGAGGCTGACAGCCATGTTTTCCAGCCAGAGACGGACACTGAAAGGGTTACTGAGCTTCCTACTACTGCAGGAGTGTTACAGAAAAAAGAAAGGAAGGCAGCGCCACTATAAACCACATAAATTAAAAGAGCACAGAATAGGCAGACTAGAATGCAATTTATATGATAGATAATAAGCAAATAGAAGTCCAGAATAAATAGTCTGACTGGTAGATGAATCAAACAAATATCTTTGTAGAGGTGAATACAGTCTTTTGTAGTGGGGGATTCTTCAGAGTGGTGTAGATGCGTCTTTGTACATCATATGAAATGAGAAAATAACAACTGATGGTATAGTATGTCCCGAAGGGGGTAGAAGCAATAAAAGAGTATATGGTCCTACTCACGTTTTCAAGAGCTATGGACTTAGCTCTAGTGCTGATAACGTACAGTGGTATAATCCCCACTTATGGGATACGTGAGGTCTTAGTATTCTTTCTTGATTAGGGAACCATATGTGGAAATAAAAGCAGGAACAACAATGGTGCTCAAAGTATAAAATGCCAGAGGTGAGAAGATAAAAAACCAAGTGGTTACTCACATTTAGTTGAACAGACTGACTGTTCAATGAATACAGCTTGAGTGGTATAATCCCCACCTAGGATTCTTGGGAGTAATATCCTCACTGGAAAGTAAAAACACTTCTGTGCCGGATAAAAGGATGGTAGTAATAAAAAAGTAAAATAATAATAGTAATAAAAAGTAAGATGGCTAACTCACAGTAAGAAAGTGGCCAAAATACCTTTATTTAAAACAATATAGTTTAAAAAACCACAACGCGTTTCGCCCTTAGGCTTTATCAAGTGGAGATCAGAAAGTACATCCTGTTACATACAGGTTTATATAGGCAGTGAACATATTAGAAAATGGCGCCAAAAAGAGTGGAACAACAAGCTCGAGTCATGCACTTTCGGTCTTATGGAAACTTTAATTCTAAAAAAGAGTAAAAAATTATCATTATTAGACGCTGAAATAAAAAAACTTCAGGACAAACTTTTACCATTCACAGAGACACAAGTATTCAAACAAAATTCTATTATCATTCAAAACAAAATAGAAAAAGTAGAGATGGACACTAAACACATTAAAGTAAAAAAATATATCCGAGATAAACATGACTACACAAAGAACCAAGTAAGGACTTACCACCTCAACAATAAGTCCAAATACACATCTCAGACCTTCAATCACCCCTCCACCATCCCTAACCAACAAGATCCCAGAAGACCTATTGTCTCCCACACTCGCCATCACTCCTGTTATTCAGATTATCCTCCTCATGCGCCTACACATTACCCCAGCAGACCCCACCCACGCTACATCCATCACAGACAACCTCCTCACGTCCCCTACCACCAAAGGCACTACAACTACCACCAACCACCACCACAGAAGTATCACAGCTCTTCCCACCACATCTCACCCCCAACCATTTCACCCTCCTATTCCAACTATCCTAAACCCAGGCCCACCAAACCTGTCCCACTCATGACTATCCCACAAAGACCTGATCTCACACCCAGACCTCAAAGATTCAGACATACATTCAAACACACCCATCCCAGCACACCCCCTCACCTACCCTCCACACACCATCCTAACAGATACCAAGTGTTATCTACAGATTTGGACACAGATACTGAGGATTATTTTTTAGAACTAGGGCCAAATCCACTTACTGCCACACCTTACCTACCCAGAACAAAAAAGAGAAATCTAAGCCTAGAGGAAGGAGAAGTGGCAGAAGATTTCAAAAGAGAAAGACTAGAGAGACACTAACTAATACAGACAACCCTCATGGAATTTTTAACCTTTCCCAAAAATGTTTAACTACTACCCAAATATCAGTTTTAACTAAGGGCCTCAAATTTGCACCTACCAATCCCTATCAACCATTCCAAGCCTTTTTAGATTTAAATAAGTTTGTTAGGAAAGCTACACTAAAAAGATTTTTTAGCAGCAGAATTGAGAATCAATCTATTAACCAGGGACAGACCAACTATTCCCCCACACCTCCATGTATTAATGACGAGATACCAGTGAAAAACACCACCCATAAGAATAACTCTAATTTTTACCCATCAAGTTTCAAATCTGGCCCGATAGAAGTTTTTGAGAATTTGGTAAAGCAAGACTTAGAAAAAATTAATACCTCCAAAAAAAACAACCACAAATATCATAAATATAACCAATATAACTTAACCTTTCAAGAAAGAAAAGCTCTCACAGATCTTAAAAAAGATGACACAATATTCATCAAACCAGCCGATAAAGGGGGCTGCCTAGTTATACTCTCACAAGAAATGTACATCAAAGAAGCATTTAGACAGCTTAATGACCCCAAAGTATATGACAAGCTACTATCAGACCCAACCCATACCATCCAAAACTCCCTTATATCATTTTTAACCAAAGGCTTAAATTCCAATATCTTCAACAAAAAAGAATTTGCTTATTTAAATATACCTCATCCAAAAATTCCAGTTATATACTTTTTACCAAAGATACACAAGAATGAGACCAATCCACCAGGTAGACCTATTGTCTCCGGGATCAATTCTGTTTTATCAAATTTATCAGAGTATATTGACATTTTACTACAACCATCAGTCAGACTTATGAGGTCATACTTAAAAGATTCCATGTCTCTCTTACGTTTTTTAGAAAATTTTACCTGGCATCCAGATTTAGTCACTTGTGATGTCCAGTCTTTGTACACCATAATCCCCCACAAATTAGGGTGTGAAGCAGTTTTAAATAGATTAAAAACGGATAATAAAATTCCAGAAAAACTAATTAATTTTATCTTAGAAGGGATAAAAATTATTTTAACAAATAACTATTTTTGGTTTTTAGACACTTTTTACATTCAAAGACAAGGCACAACTATGGGTACTAGGTTTGCACCAAGTTATGCCAATCTTTTTATGGACAATTGGGAGTCTAAAGCAATCTGGGGAGATCGCCCCTGG